CCCCTGCAGAAGCGTCCCCGTACCAATAACAGCGTACCTTGTACCACTAGCATGCCCCTGCAGCAGCGTCCCCGTACCAATAACAGCGTACCTTGTACCACTAGCATGCCCCTGCAGAAGCGTCCCCGTACCAATAACAGCGTACCTTGTACCATTAGCATGCCCCTGCAGAAGCGTCCCCGTACCAATAACAGCGTACCTTGTACCATTAGCATGCCCCTGCAGAAGCGTCCCCGTACCAATAACAGCGTACCTTCCCAGCATACTGGAAAATGGCTATGTCGTACCTCACGTCCAGGGGTCTTCTAGAGCATATGGTTTCATTGCTCTTAAAGTTAGCTAATATTAATTTGTATTCCTGTGTATATTATTCCAATCGCTCCGCGATGAGCACCGCCTGCACCACGTTGTTATTAGTAGGGGACGGCTTTTGGAAGTTGAGGAGTATGGAAACCGGAGGTGCGGGCTGAACACGGACCTACTTGGGCCCAAGCCAAGCCTACTTGGGCCAAACTTGGCCGTGCTTGGGCTTAAGTTGAGCTGAACAGGCCGACTCTGCCCCAACCTAGCCTAGCCCCAACTTGGTTCCAACTTGGTTCTACTTTGGGTCCAACATGGCGCAACTTGGGCTCTACTTTAGTGCAACTGAAGTTGAGCCAAACACGGGCCCAACGTGGTGAACACGGCCGCATTGACTCGGTTCGCTCGACCCTAATAAACTAAATGGTTCAGACCTTCAACCTGCGATGAACCACCCAATGCCGGCCTTGAGATCGTCAGTCCAGTGACTCGTGTTGGTGAAGACGACCTGCTTCGCGCACGCAACCACATCAAAAAATCCCAGCAAATGTGGTGAAACATGGAGAAACCCGAACAATCCAGTCCCGAATAGTCCCGAACAAATTGCAACCTAGCTGTGCCATAGAATGTCAATATGATGCCTCAAAATGATTCAAATAATCAATGAAGATCCCCGTTGCTTGTGCCTTTTAGTCTCATGCCTCGATTTTAGCCAGCTAAAACTCCGAACCTACCCCAAAAACAAGGCTGGATAAAATTTGGGCAGGAGGTCCTGCATAGGCTAAAATTTGGGCTCGAGACCCAAAATTTATACCATCCCACTTGGTTTGTAGAGAGATATCAGGCAGATAAAATCCAAGAGTTTGACGTCTATTCGGCCGAGTCAATTTTTGAAAAATGTGAGGTCTTTGCAGGTTATGATCCTTGGCTGCTGATGTTTTTTTCTGTCAACGGGGCCAGGACAACATATGCACGGAAGAGTGCAGTTCCGGCTCAATCCCAAAACGTGGCTAGCATGAGCCCTGTGGATTTGGAGACCTATCGCGCACAATGCCCTCCAAACAGAACGTCCAAAATCCCTGCTTGAACTGTTTCATGTACCAAAATCCCTCCTGGATAAAATTCCGTGGGACTGAGAGTCAAGAACGTGTAGAACTTTTATGTTTGATAGTAAAGGTATCCGGCGAATAAAATTCCGATACAACCCCAAAATATAAGAAACAGCTACTGGGATAAATATGCGGTGGAAGGTATCCAAGGTACCGGCTGGCTATTTTTTGGGGCTGGACCCTCAGGATTTCAGCCAGGGGTAAGCATCAGGGATAATGAAGTGAAGGAGTGCTGATTCATGTCACGTTTCATGTCACGTTTCCTGATTCAGGTGCCCGTCCTTCGCGGCATTGGCGACGGTGATGATTAGGCCCAGCCAAAACCATAGTACCAAGGGATCGCGCAGTAGCGTCACAGGCTGGCGGAGCATGGTTGGGCATGGGCATGTACTGACATGCATACTCACTTCATGGCCATCAAGTGGTTGGATATGATACATTCAGATCGATTAGCGAAGCAAAGCCTTTGTAATAGTGTGTGGCCGTCCTGGTCTGGGCTCTATTGTTAAGCTGTCTGAGGCTCTTGTTTTGATCTTTTCATTACATTACATCATGATACATCATGTGCTATGTGATTTTCCATGATTTTCCCAGTGCCAATATCTTCCTACGGATCATCCTCTTTCCAAGTGCTGCATGGACTATCAACTGGTCCTGCAGCTGAAGCAGCATGCCGCTGCGCAAGCTCTCATAGTACCTGGGTGCCAGCAACTGACTAACCGAATCGAGTTGGTACACGAAGTTCACTCTCTACTGACCACATGCAAATGTAATCACTGCAACCACTGCTTAAAAAACTAGAAAATCTTACTGTAGAAGCTGTGAAGATTTAAATGAGGCCACAATGACATGTGCTGTGTCAATACGTTGTTTTCACCATCTTCCTAAGCCAAGTACATGTCTCACACATTGCCGTCCAATCAACTAATCGCCCCCATGGCCTTTCCCTTTACACCATCAATGCAAGTCACAAATGACACCGAGAGGTGGCCAGGAAAATGCGCATCACCGCAGCGCAGCCGAAGAGCAGCGGGAAGGCGATCCTTGGAGCTATCATAGCTGTCATCAACAAAAAGAATTACGCCCATTGCGGATGCTGCCATCCTATGGGTCGTTGGGATTTGCTAGGTTGTTTTCAGATTTCACCCAAATAAAACGTACGCATGTTCCTTAATTACCATCCGAAATCTTCTCCAAATGCGGTTGTGCAGGGTAAATGTGTAAATAATCTCATCCCTGAAACCACAAGCACCTGAAGTGGAAAAAGTCACTGGCTCCTTCTGGGATGGTCAAATTCCCAACCTCCATCGCTAGCGCTTACAAGGGGCACTAGAAAGAAGCCAATCCCGTCTTGATCATGGTAGATTCGAAAGAATCTCTCACCTGCCGGCATTTTGTTAGGATGCATCCTTTAGGAAACATGATATGAATATGTATGAATTGCTCAATTTGCTCAATTTTGCGCGCGCAATCTTTGAAGCATCAAGTTTCGCGCCTTCAAGAACAAAGAGCCCGCATCCAATGATGAAACAAAGGACATCAATCAACGCCTGCGAGATGATTTCCTCAGTCACGAACTGCTCCTTCAATTCCCTGCCGGCAACATCTTCCTGAACGACCAGTTCTATACCCTATACATCTCTGAACTAAAAGCATCGAAAAACATCGAACCACAACATTCATGGTGGAAGTCCTACTGGTCAAGCCAGGCCAAACGCTTCAGCCATACCAATCATGGCCAATCCCAGCAAACCATCCAGCCGAGCTCAGCTACTGTCGTCGACGGAAGTCGCAGGTGTTTGGAGCTCACATCCGTGGTGGATGCCAATCCCCAGCGCCGTTGCCGATGCTCCTGGCCGGCCCAGAGCCAACCAGAAAGTAGGCTGCATGGTCTTCGCGAAATCGCAGCAGAGTTTGCGTGAACTACGAGATTTCATATCACAGTACATAGCTTATAATACCTTATAATATCTCACAATAGCTTTTCAAATCTCATAGTAGCTTCTGAGGTCATGGATGGAACTTCCGCTCCCTGCAGGTCTCGATGATAAGGCCGATGGACCAGAAAAGAATCACCACCAGAATGCCTGGATGCACCACGAAACCCCCATGGTTTAGAACATCATGTTGAACACTGATGAACATTGCCATATATTGCCATAAATTGGGGTTCATTGGGGTATCCCTCATTCTCAATATGTTTGCACATGTTTGGCTATTTTTGGATTAGCCCAGCTTGGAACATCCACTTTCTTAGAGGCAGTGGCGCAAATGCGGAACATCTTACAGCATCTTATAACCACATTTGGGATATCCTGGGATTAAGAGTTGCAGAACTGCCAACTTTCAGGTGGAGACCTTGGGGTGCACAGCAACCAATGACAAATACTGGTGCACATTGACATGACGCATGGCGATATAACAAAGCACGCTCACGTTTTCATAGAAAGATTAGCTTCTTCGAGTGACCCCCACCCTGACACACTTTTCTGACATAGTTCCTGACGTACCATCTGGAAGTGTATATTGGGTGTGTATATGTATATATATATATGTATGTATGTATGTGTATATATATATACTGAATCTATCTGACACTTTTTCTGGCATATACTCTGACATTCTATTCTGGCATTCTATCTGGCATTCGCGGTTGAGGTCTGGCAGTGCCCACTGAGATCTGGCACTTGCGGTTGAGGTCGTGGCGCTCGCAGTTGAGGTCAAGCAATGCCCACTGATCTCGGGAGCTCATGGTTGAGGACGAGGAGGAGAAGAAGGAGAAGAAGGAGAAAGCAACTCTGATAAAATCTAGAGACTCTCACCTGGCATGTGAGGAATGATGACAACCATATTTGTATATACTTGTATACGGATGTATACGGCATATACTAGTATTAGTATATCAAGTATAAGTATATAACATGTGCATCCATGTGCACATTTCAATACATGTTGCTATATTTTGCACAAGGGATCGCAAGCAGCCACCATATGCCACCGTGATGTGCTGAAGATTCCTGCACTTTGGTCATGGAGGACCTCTCCAACTTGCAGCCTGGATGCAGCATGAGAAAAGCACCACCAGCTCCTTAGTTCGGGCCCGGGGTGTCCATCGCAGGGATGCCATCCCAATAGGACTGCGCATGCCCTGTGCCAGCCGCATACCATGCTAAGCATCGTAAAGGACAGCAAGATCAGGTCGCAAAGAGTGGAAGCCTTGCAGGATATCCCGCGATAAAACCTGACAGATCAGTTGGGTTCAGGGCCGAGAAGTTACAATAAAACAATAGGGCCTTTGCACTGAGCTTTTCATCCATCTTCCTCATTCGCATGGAAACAGTTTAATGGGAAATGGGAAGTATGGGATCAAAATTTCTGTGTTTCATTATATAATCGAGTTGACTCTGAATGTGCACGAATGTGATAGGTGCACAATGGTGCACATATGACTGTCTACAATCGGCCCTATATTGATCTATATTGTATATAGAAAGCACATGCACTAGATACACTAGATGCAAATTGTAGTCTGCAATGAGGGTATCTGACAATTTGCGTTCAATGCATGCTTGAGTGAGGTTCAGCAAGTAATTATCCATGCACTTTGAACGAGACGCCTGTGGTCACTGAATCAAACTGTTCAAGACCAACACCACATGAGCGTGACAAACGGCTTGCCCACCAAGCAGCATGTGCCAGAAGATCAACTAACATCCATGTCGCTGCAGGCGGTCCTCGAGTGTCCCAGAAATGCCGCAACTTCACTAGCAAAGCATTGTTACGGCGGCAATGTGTTTTTTCGTTGTTCAAACCAGTTCACACTGCATAGAACAGGAATGCGCTATTCGTATTCGTGTACACTCTGCATCAACTTTCCTACACTCTAGAATGTTCTCATGAGACTCACTACTATGACACACTTGTGACGCTGCTCCTGCATTTTACCCAGAAAGCACTGGCAGCCAAGTCACGCATATGGGCCACACACTTTGTCGCCCCTAAGCTGCAAAGGAACACGTCGCCGGTCATGTCATCCTGTGGCACAAAAGCCGCTGAGTCAGTGAAGTGTGGTAGTGTAACCCAAACGACCCAAATTAAATGTGCATCGATTCAAAACACAAAACACACCAAGGCTTGGCCATCGAAGAAAGATGAACGGGAACTTGGCCCAGGGGCCCAGCCTGAATAGAGAGTGACACTTCGGACTTTTCCTCTGGGTCACTCTGATCTAGTCTGGGCAGAATGGTAGCAGTCCCAACCTGTGGCATGTCAGAATCTGGGTGAGCAGTGAAACTTGGCCGCTGCATCACCATGCCATTGCAACTGCTGCGGAAACAGTACGTGAACCCTAGCAAAGAAGCATAAGGATCCATCAAGGAGGTCCTGAAGGACGAAGGTAACAAACTGCAAACACCTGAAACCCTGAGCAGTCTCTGACCAACGCCATGCGCTGGATGCTTGTGGGCCACTTCTTCGCTGCAGTTGGGAAAGCGGTAGAGTTTCCAGTCTTGCCACACATGTTCATCCTTAGCACCAAATGCACCAGGATTCCACTCAGGCACACATCATGAAAGCCAGCACAACAAATCTGCAGCATTCTGCACCCCTGATCTCCACTTCCAGGCCTGGAAAGCTGATGCTCTGATTGCAAAGATATTTCCGTGCTCCTAAGGGACGGCCAGGCCTGGTATGGTCTGGCAGAGTCTGGCGGACCCCGTGATGTCATTGCGGTTGTCTGGTGTAAGCCTCTGATAGCCGAAATCCTTCATGCAAACATCATCAAATCTTACCCACACATCTGCATGGTCACTCATCCAACTGGATCCTCGACTGCATGCTGCACCAGAGAGCAAGCCTAGTGTGGGAGAGCTTAGTTGTCAGCCTGGGCTTGAATTAGGTGACCAAAAATCTATATAAAATCTAGATGGTGAATTATATAATGCTAATTTTATAAGTGACCAAAATCTGCGGTCCTCTCACCCTTACACTCAAACCTTTCATAAATTCTGGGGGGCAAGTGGGGTGTAATTAGATATTGTCGCTGGGCTCTGACAAAGCTGCAGCCTGTCCTTATGCTTTGTGGCAGTAGGACACTCGAAACCGCCGCTTGGATCCTCAATGCATCCAATTGAAATACCTTTGTGAAATCAGTTTCTGACTGCGCCCAGCTGCTGTGATATGCTCATGCTATCTCCAGCTACACGGAAAGGACACCAAGAATGAATGTGTCGGATGCAAGCTCGAGGCCAAAAATGGCATGTTCTCATAGTGGTCCGAAGGAAAAACCCAAGCAGCTAGCTCTGGAGCCTAAGGGATGCCACGTAATTACTACCCTATAAAACCACTAACATGTCTTTAAACAATATGAATTAATATGAACCATTCCCGTGATCGCGGATATCACGTCAACATAGTTTTCGCTAGTTCAGTTACGCAACTCACACATCATCCCTTGCACTACTTACGCTCCTGCTCTGCATGGTGTGAACGAAGTGCCAAGACTGTACCTTGACCGAAGTGTGAGGGTGGATCAGCCAGTTTAAGACAAATCGTTTGATCCCACATGTGCAGTGTCATATGCCTGTGACTCTGCACGTAGGCACACATAGCCTTCCGGAATCATGCAACTGATACGGCTCAATACCATTTGGAGTCTCTTACAGTAGACTACTTCAGAAAACATGAACACATTATGTTCGTATATGCTGGTGTTGCCCGAGCCAAACCGAGGAAACCCAACTCGCAGTGGAACCCCCGCATCCCTTGCGCACCAAGCAGACCCAGCCAAGCAATGCACGTCATGGAAGATACATTTGGCATGAAACGAAAGCTTCGCAGTTGCCCAAAGTGGACCAGTGAAAAACTGCCAAGATAAAATCACGTTGGTTAGAACATCCTAGACCTAGCTCCTGCACGTTAAGATTATGTATCTGCACCAAACTATGATTACTTAAATGCAGGTGACACGCGATGTGCGTCTTTGTGTGGCCACATGTTCTGTCGGGAGGTCCTGGGCGCTACAAATCTGAGCCAAAAGTTAAGGGCCTGGCTTTGGCATGAGGTGACTCTTTCGCATTGGATGAAGTAATTACGGCATCATGGCACATGATCAAGTAGATCATCAAGTCACATTGACGCAACGATCACTTGGGTTATTGTGTACTGTAGTTGTCGACATCAATTTCCCGGGAACATTTGTCTCGAACATGCTTTCCTTGTGCGGATCCAAGTCCATATAGGTAGCGAAAAAATCGGATGTGGTCTCCCACAGGTACTGGATGGATCACGTCTCCAAGGACAATGCCGTTCCTTAGAGGTTCGACCAAGGCTGAAGCTGACATGCAATATAAGTGTCACAATAGATAATGTGTATGTATATACCTGTGTGCAGTCTTTAGTGTTTGTACCGGCAGTACCGCACAAGGCGGCGGCGGAAGTTTCAAAAATAGGAAACCTATAGGAGAGGTTGGTTGTTGTGAATCACGGATGGCAGAGCGAACACACTGATGGACCGAAAGGTGGTTGGAGTTGTGTTTTTTGGAGTGGTTGCAATGGTTGCAGTGGTCACCTCACCACAACTGTTTGATGTAGTGTGGTGTAGTGCAGTTGCAGTTGTAGTTGCAGTTGTAGTTGTAAGTTGTAGTTCCAATCTGATGTAATTAGTGTAGTATATTGTAGTGTATTGTAGTGTACTGTAGTGTTGTGTACTGTAGCGGGGTATAGTGTAGTGTAGTCGAGTGTAGTGTAAAGTAGTGTAGTTGTAGTTGTAGTGTGTTGTGTATTGTAATTAATGTAGTGTAGCGTAGTGCAATGTAGTGGTAGTTGTAATTTTAGTTGCAGCTGTAGATGCAGTGTAATGTAGTGTAATTAGCGTAGTGTAGTGTTGTGTAGTGTTGTGTAATGTAGTGTAGCAGTTGCAGTTGCATGTATATTTGTAGTTGTAGCGTGCTGCAGTGTAATTCGCGCAGTGCAGTGTAATGTAGCGTACTGGTAATCGTAATGGTAGATTTGGTGGTGGTGGTGGTAGTAGTAGTCGTCGTCGTAGTAGTAGTAGTTGTTGTTGTTGTAGTTGTCTATCTACCTAATCTGTCTATCTATCGATCTGTCTATCTATCTATCTATTTATCTGTCTATCTGCAAGATTGAAAACGCAGCTATTTTGAGAGACTTCCTCAATTTTTGAACTTGACAACATAAAAAACGAAACAAGTCTGCGAGACTTCCTCAATTTTTGAACTTGACAACATCAAAAACGAAACAAGTCTGCGAGACTTCCTCAATTTTCGAAGTTGACAACATCAAAAACGAAACAATTCTGCGAGACTTCCTTCAAAAATGGAAAAAAGAGTGCAGAGCTGCCGGCCTCGTACCAATGCGTTTTGCGATTTTTCCACTCCACCTGTCTAAAGTACTGCGCTTGCGACGAAAAAGTGATGCCAGGTCATACGAGGTGCTGCGCCTGTCACGCAAAATCAATCAAAATCATCTTCCCAAAACTGAAGATCTGATGCTCCAAAATGCAACCTCTCTCAGGAAATCAGCGCCCGGACCTCCTAACATGTCTCTTGTACTGCGCCTGCCACGGAAAATGCATCTTTGCAGATCCTCTTCAAATGTCCCACGCCTGCTATCGTTTTTGAAACTGCTGCAAAACCCTCACGTGTTGCTCACCAAGGTGCACAAACCCTTGCGCCTGCCACGTGAAACGACATCTGAATGGCCAAAAGTGCTCCGAACCCGTCAGTTTTTTGACTTGGAAATGTGCTTCGCGCCACAACGGCGTGCACTTTTTCGACATCTCAACTTCCAAAAGTGGTCCGAGCATGGTGTGCTTTGTACATTTTGACTTGGAAATGTGCTTCCCACCACAACAGCGTGCACTTTTTCGACATTTCCTATTCCAAAAGTGGTCCGAACGTGATGTGTTTTTAGCTTTTTCAGTTGCAAACGTGCTTCACGCGAAAACAGCGTGCACTTTTTCGACATCTTAACTTCCAAAAGTGCTCCAAACACGTCAGTTTTTTGCATTTTTGACTTTGAAATGCGCTTCGCGCCACAACGGCATGCAATTTTTCATCTCTCATCTGGCCCGCTGGCTCCGCACCCGCCGCTTTAGCGAGCCTACTTTTCGACCCTCCGGAGCCACAAATCATTGGAAAAAAACACAGTGTTTCGCGACTTTCCTACCTGTTCGCGCACCTGGATCTTCTTTCTTCTTCTCCTCTTCTCTCACTCTTCCCATCTCTGCTTTTCATCTGTCCATGTTCGGAAGTTTGACTTCTAAACTTCCTTCGAATATGCTAACACATGCATGCGCATCATGACGTGCATCGTATGACCTCATATGTGCTAGGATCAAAACAAAGTTTCGCGGCTTATGGTCATCCATCCCACGCAGGGTATACATATATATATATATACATAGGACATAGATATGTTGTTGTTGTTGTTGTTGCTGCTGCTGCTGCTGCTGGTGCTGCTGGTGCTGTTGCTGTTGTTGTTGTTGTTGCTGGTGTTGTTGTTGTTGTTGTTGCCGTCATTGTTATCATCATTATTATCTATTATTACTATAATATATATATATACATATACGTACACATCCCTCTCAATCGAATCATGACAAGCACCCAATATGGCTATACAATCGAACTTTTGAAAATGGCACATAAGATTCCTAACACACAAGTACGTACACGAATGAATATAACGAATACATTAATAACTGCAATATATCGGAGTACATGCATGTAGAGTATGCATGCACCAATCAGCCGCAGTGCCCCTTGCGAGTTTCTTTGCATTTTTTTCCCACGTCTCAAGAGATCAGCAGGACCCTCACACCTCCCCAGCCCCAACCACTTTTTGCCACCTTTTTTCGCACAGCCATAGCCATGGCCCATTTGGACCACAGCTGATTATGTATTGGTTCATCGAAGTTCGATACTACCAATCTATTGAACCTGCAAGATTCTCATGATATATATGATATGATCTTCTCATATCTATTCATATCTGATGATGCCCAACTCAATCTTTGGAGCCATGGGCAAGTGTTGTCACTTGATTCACTTGATGACATCTCGATTACATCAGTAGCCCCGGACTTCCAGGTGGAAGTTCGGCCTCAGGCGTCCAAATCTGAAACTCTGGCTGGCGCTTCAATCGGCCTTGGGCTGCCGGAACCGGTGGGGCACACTTAGAATTGCAGCCCCACATTCGTCTGAAAACAGGATACCCCAAAATCCCATGGCTTATCACCATTCTCCCTAAATGGCAGCGGCTAAGAATTGGGAAATACATGGAAATACTTCATTTTCAGACACCTGCATGATTTTTTCCTCGAATCGCTGGGAATATGTGCAAACAAGGCACACAAAGCCTCCTCTTGCTGAAAGGCTCCTCAGTCTGACAGGATGGACACCGATTTCTTTTGTTTTACCGCGTGTGGTTGCCAGCCATTTTCACAATATGCCTCAACCCAGCCAATGGAAACCCAGCTGAAAGGCACCTCACCCTTTCACCAGTGAATCATTTCTGACGGATCTTCGGTGACGAGAAGCTACTCCAAAATAGGCAGAGCTCTGATCGAGTGTTATCAGGAAACTCCCACATTTCCTGGCAAGTCTCTGTTGATTCGTTGATTGCGAGTGGAAAGATGTAACAATTGTTATCACTATCTACTGAGCCAAATGCCTACTTTTTCCGGTTAAAAACTAAAATAAAACTACTGTAAACAACCGTTTTTATTCCTATTTGCTCGGAAAAAAACCTGGTAATTTCAAAATAACCAGCTTTATCTGCTTTTATCTGCTTCTAAACCCGTAATTTAGCCGTAGTTTACCCGTAAAATTCCGTAATTTACCGGTAAAAAACCCTAATGGAAAGCTTTCCTCTGAAATACCCGCTTATTTCAAAAAAAGACTGGTAATTTTTGACAACCAAAAAATAGTTGGTTTTGGGCTTACTAGGAAAGTCTATCATTCCAGTTTTCTTCTGGCAGTCAGGTGAACCCACATAATTCACACACCTCAAGAACAAGAATCAAACAGTGAACGTATGAATGTGCTGCTTTACTATACTTGGCGATGTGTTGCTTCTCATTTCTCAGCTGCAAACATCTGCATTTGGAGTGCACATGTGATGAATTTCCCCAGGTCCCGTTGAGTCAGAGACAGTCCTGGTGATGTCTTTCTCCGTTGCAGTACTCTGGCGGGGTGTACGTGTGCACATCATAGCAGTCAGGCATCCTCCATAGGCTGGAATGTGCAAACACACGCGGACAATCGCAGAGATAGAGATAGATGATGATAGATAGATGGATAGGATGGGATATAGGGTCGAAGACACATGATCTGTCCAGTCTAAAATCCTGCCAAAGACAAGTAAAACATGTGAGCTGAGTGGTGTGAAGACTCCACAGCCCGCTCTCATTTCACCCCGGAGCTGGCACCTATGACACTGCAGAAAGAGAAACATTGACAAAAAAGGAACTCCAAAGATGACACTCCTCTGTTCATCTCTACATCTCCACTGGGACCGTTAATGGGATTAATATTTAATATAATTATTTAGTATACAACATTACTTAATAGTTGAATAAGTCCTGTTACATAGTAAGTACTGGAATCTTGTGACATCTTTTGAAATGTCGTAATGCATGCCACGTAGTATCCACTCATGCATCGATCTCCTAGCTCTGCAGCCATGAGCCATGCATCCCGGTCCCGGACAAAATGGTGGTCGCATCTTGTGACTCCGAAACCGGCACAATGTTATCCAGGCTGCTCCTCAGGTGCTGCCCCTTTGAGGTGTCTGGAGAACAGTCCAACAGTTGTCCAACATAGTCTACCCAGGTCTAGACCTAAAAACCTGCGAACCAGGACCGACGCCTCATTGCACATGAGAGCTGTGATGCTTCTAGATCTTCTTGTGTCTCATCCGTCTTTGGACTTCTCCTGGCTATGCCCTCGCTTTGCCATGCATCTTCAAAGGTGTGGCCATGGACCTACGATGGCTAAACTTGATTGAGAGTTCAGATAGGCCTCAGGACTTGACAACCCTTCCAGAGATCGCCCACCGTTCACCGTTCATTCTTGCTTGGCATGCCTATAATATATATATATAAATACATATACACATTAAAAATAATCAATAAATAAATAATATATATATATATATCACACTATGTGTATATATATAATTATATATATATATATATCCATACATGCCAAGGGTTATATGCAGCGCGTGAAATCCCATGAAATCCCATTAGCATCACTAACCCACTGGCGGCGAGAGTCTGCGAGATCATCACGGCCCGCTGCTTGGGGCACTGCTGGCCTTGGGTGGGCTGTGCAATGGCTCCAAGGTCGGATTTTTCTATGGGGATCATTACATAAATGTACATAAATTTGTATAGGGTTCTACTACGAGGGGTAGGTCCCAGAATTTAACCAGTTGAATTTCTATGAGGGCGAGGTTCATGGGCTTTTTTCCCCAGGCTAAATCCCCTGGCACTAGCCCCTCTGGGGCTAGGGCCCGAAAACTTAGTCAAACACAATTTTAAGTCAACAATGTCACAACTTGCTGAGCTAAATTTCTTGGAACTTAGGTTCAGCTCCAAACATGCAAATATACTGTATGCAAACCACAGGTCAAAACAAACAAAATCCTGAAAAACACACACGTGAACATGGGTCAAAATCTTCCAAAATCAAAAACGATGCTTAGAGAAAAGCTTGTATTGGCTAAAGTTGCTAAAGTTCAGGGCACTAGCTCCTTATATGCATCATGCTAGCAAATGATTTCAAACTTGTTGTCTTCCCATGCAACCCTGCTAAATTTCTTTTGTCCTTACCCCCAGGGGCTTCAAGATTTGCCTGGCTGAAATTCTTAGCTGGCTATAGCCAGTGGGCTCTAGCCCAGGGATTTTGGACGGCTGGCTGCACGGCATGTTATACCATATAAACAGAATAATAGTGGATAATATCTTAGTAATTATATGCTAGTATATGCTGTTGTTTCGACGGGGAAATCACCAGAAAAAAGAGAAAGTAATTGAATCCGAATGGCTCAGCAGTTTGATCGGATCATAGTTGTCCACCTGTGGCGATGCTGATGGAGCTGAGGATAGCTGAGGGATGAGGGAAACAAACCTCAAGGGTCCAAACGTCCAAACAAAACCACCACGCCTTGTTTTCAGAGAAGTACTGCGCTGACCAAAAGACTGGCGGACTTAAAATACTTGCCAGAAAAGGACCGACATACATGGCCACAGTGCTTTCGATGCCTCAATCCCAGCTGTGGAACTGCAAGACTTTGTGGTGAGAAGGGGCAGGGCAGAAGATATAGCGAAAGTCTGTACAAGTACTGATCTTGAGAACCAAGTGGATTCACAACCATTTACCTCGAAGGATGTTCGACGTTACATCCAAAGGGCACCAAACCACCTAAACACACAAACAAATGCAACTTTGAAGACTCAATGCGCTCAGTTGTGGTTCTCGTGAAGATCAGATAAACTTCTTCCCGGCAATCAAGATGGAGCAGCTCAAAAAAAACAAATCTTGAATCATTGTGACCAATCATTCTTCAAACACCATCCTGATCTGTTGCAGGTGGCGGTATACCGCTGAGTCCACCCACTCTCCGGGTCAAAATGAAATGGTTCCCTCTTCTGCCAAGAAACTGCCACGAAGCCCATGGAATGGTGCAGAGTCCAACCATCCAGCAGGGATCCGTGGTTCCAAAGCCATGGCGATTGCAGCTGCATAGGCACCCTTGGAGAAACCCATCACACCCACCTGCGCTGTAAGGTTTCAAAGGGCAACTAGCAATTTCTTCCCTAGCTCTGTAAAGAGAGAGGCCCTTCAAAGATAGGACATGATAGGACCACCGAAACTGGAATGGAAATTTCTCAGAGGTATCCTTAGCATGCTCATTCTCCTTGGAGTAACTTATATGTTATGTGCGAATAAAGTCATTTTTGTGTACACGCATTTAGAGTTTGTTGTGTTCTCTTGTTGTTCTCTCCATCGCTGTCAGGTCACCCTGCCCTAGCCGTGCGCAAGAAACAGGTACGAATGTTGGTCTTTTGGCTGATCTTATATCATGCTGATGATCTTCCTTTGGGGCGGACGTTGGTCCAAAGTTTCACTGGGGGTTTAGACTGTTTAGCTTTCTTGAGGGTTTCTTTTAGGGTCTAGGGTCTATTTAGGGTTGTGTTTTAGATTTTATTTATATAGGATCGTTTTGGGTTTATTTAGGGTTCATTTATATAGATAGGTTTGGGCTTATGCAGGGTTACTTTAGAATTTATGGAGGGTCAGTTTGTTCAAGGTGTAAGTTTCACATTCAAATCACTGCAAAATGCTGAGAATGTTAAAGCAATCGTCCAAAAGTGGTTTTACAGATGAATTTACGCCATCTTCTAATTGGGTAAGCGCAAGCATTAAGCCTGCAAAGGGGCGCAGGCAATGTAACAATTTTGGATGTTTGAAACTTGCGGAATACATGTGGCGCAACAAACTTGGGTGTAATACAGTGTATACCGTATACTGCATACCCAATTGTCACACACATCATCATACATCTACATAGCCAGCGCATGGCATCGCCGCCTCGCCTGATCCTTTGGAAATTTACCGCCCAGGACTCCATCAGGGTCTTCGACAGCATAATCCCAGGCACCCAACAGATCCAAATGGTAATCCTCAGTGGCGCTGTTCAAAACAACGACTGACCCCCAAAAAGGTCACCGAAAAATTGGCTGAAAAACACCATGTGACATTGGACAATTATTCACACACACACATATATATATATATATATAAATATCATATATATATATATATATGCATACTATATACCTGGATATTCATTGGTTACAAATTTCTGTCCAGAACAAATTTTGGTGTGATGTCCGTCCATTCTTAGATTTGTCAAAATAAAAATGTATATTTCAAAAAATGCAGGTATACATTGTATACATGGCTTTCGTCTCCAAATGTGGACCATCAATGAACAGTATGATAGGCCATGGGATGATGGAATGATCTACATATATACTTTAGGCATTGCCTGTAACGGCAACTCTTTAGATGTTTATACTCCCGACATTAGGGTATAAATATATAACCCTTTCATTGGAGTATAAATAACCCTTCCATTGGGGTATAAATAACCCTTTCCATTGGTGTATAAATAACCCTGACATTGGATGACATCTGGGTATAAATAACCCTTTCCATTGGGGTATAAATAACCCTTCCATTGGGGTATTTATAATAAATTACTTTACTTCGTGTGATCCCCACCATGACATTTTTACATTTTGTTACTGGCAAATCTTCTGGCATTCTATCTGACATTCTATCTGACATTCTATCTGTCATACCTTCTGGCATTCTATCTGGCATATCTTCTGGCATTCTATCTGGCATATCTTCTGGCATTCTATCTGGCATATCTTCTGGCATTTTATCTGGCATATCTTCTGGCATTCTATCTGGCATATCTTCTGGCATTCTACCTGGCATATCTTCTGGCATATGTTCTGGCATATCTTCCGGCATTCTATCTGGCATTCTATCTGGCATATCTTCTGGCATATTATCTGGCAAATCTTCTGGCATTCTATCTGGCAAACATTCTGGCACTTTATCTGGCATATCTTCTGACATTCTGTCTGGCATATCTTCTGACATTCTTTCTGACATTCTTTCTGGCATTCTATCTGGCATATCTTCTGACATTCTATCTGACATCTTTTCTCACATTCTTCCCGTTGAGGTCCGGCAGTGCCAATTGCGATCTGGAAGTCGCGGTTGAGGTCCGGCAGTGCCCGCTGCGATCTGGAAGTCGCGGTTGAGGTCCGGCAGTGCCCACTGCAACCTGGAAGTCGCGGTTGAGGTCCGGCAGTGCCCACTGGGATCTGGAGCTCGCGGTGGAGGTCCGGCAGTGCCCACTGGGATCTGGAGCTCGCGGTGGAGGTCCGGTTGTGCCCACTGGGATCTGGACTGCGAGGAGGAGGCGGCGGGTGAGGAGGCGGAGGAGGCGGAGGTGGAGGCGGAGGAGGCGGAGGCGGAGGAGAACAGCTCTGATAAAATCTAACAACCCTCACCTGGCAGGTGGGGAATAACCCTGACATTGGGGTATAAATAACCCTTCCATTGGGGTATAAATAACCATTTCCATTGGGGTATAAGTAACCCTGACAGTGGGGTATAAATAACTTGGGGTAAAATAACCCTGCCACTGGGGTAAAATATTTGGTAACATAACCTCGAGTGGGGTGAAATAACTCTTCCATTGTGGTATAAATACATCCGTTCAGCCAAAGGTTAAATACCCCGATGAGATTTTCGACACCTTCCATCGGTATATATTTTGGGATGTGTTTGAAGTATTCTTGGATCTAACAATACCAACCTGGGGAACTTTTTAGATATGTTTAGATCTAAAAATACCCCAACCTTTGGGGCATGTTTAAATCAATAAATACCCTAAGGTTGGGGCATTTTTAACTCTAATTTAAACATGTCTAAAACATACCACAAAGTTGGGGAATTTTGGGATCCAAAAAAATCATCAAAATATCAGCAAGAATACCGTCAATTTTAAAGTATTTTGGTTCCTAAATCATCAAGCGTCGGGGTATTTTGGGAAGTTTTCATGGGGTATTTTTCGAGATGTCAAGGGGTATTTTTGGAGATGGGACGGTGTATTTTTGGAAGATTTCAAGGGGTATTTTTCGAGATACCAAGGGCTATTCCTGGATATGCCGAGGGGTATTTGTATACCCACAGACAAGCCACATCGAGGGGTCTAGTTACTGATAGAAGCAATCCCTCATATATATATATAATTATATAGTTATATATATCTCTCTCTCTCCCCGTGAGGCAAGCCAGTGGAATCCAAGGGTCGTATCCCCACGTCAAAGTATTTGGATGACTGGATTTGCCTGACAAGCCAAAGTCCCGGGCGGAAGGTGCCAAACAGCTGAATCCCAGTTCACGCAGCAAGAAACAGGTCGCCTGAACGCCTCGGCTTGGGGAGGGGTGGCCGCAATCAGAAAGCACCAGATACACAGACTCGACAAGTCAGAATGAGATCGGATGCAAGTAAGATAGCAAAATAATAACAAATAAAGATATAGACGAATCCAAATCCAACTCTCTCTCTCTCTGTGTCCACGCACGCATTTCTATCAACATGTGCGCCTGATTGATCCCTAGATTTGGCAAACTTTTTCCATGCAATCTCCAAGTCGACGTTACTTTTGCATACTTGGGCTGGGCACATGGAATCGAAGCGTTGCCAGGTACGTTACTAGGTCGGACGGCATACAGCCCCTGTGAGGTGTCCCAATGATAAACCCTGTCCATGCCAGAATCCATACCACAATGTCATGTGCTGTAGGAAATGTTTGGCTCGTAGCTCTGAAAGCTAAAGTTGAGTTGTTCCACTCTACCCCTAGCTGATCCTAGTGAGATTTAGTGAGGCATCTTAAGACACGTAAGACATCTAGTGAGATCGAGTGACATCCGGTGACACTTACTGACCACCAGCATTAAAATACATATATGTGTGTGTTATATATATACTATATCTAGACTATGTTATATATACATATATATATATGTATTTATAATATATGAGCTTATAATATATATATAATATATGTTTTATATACTACACAGTATATCTATAGACAATATCCAGACTATGTTATATATATATATATCTTATATGATCTTATATGTCAATATTCTCTAAAAGCTGAGGCACCACAGTGATTGTTGTTGCTGGCCAAGCCATGCATCGCCACGATCCGTGGCCTCGGAGCTTTCCCTTCCGGCGCAGGCAACCACCAGGCACTGATGTTCACCGCGGGTTCGCCATGTGGACCTGGACGTGAGGGGAAGTAGACCATCTTGAAGCCGTACCTCAGAAACTGCCAGAAACCCCACCCAGATCTGAAGTGACCAAAGTTGGACAAGGAGATTGAGAAGAAACACAGCAGCTGACAGTAGTGGTGATTGCTGAAGATGGTCTCCTAATCCAATCCTTGGCCATGCTTCACAGGGTGCTGTAGGCATCTGCTAGGCCAGAAGCAACTCTGAGATCGGTGCATAAACTAGATACCTCAATATCCTCAGTTTTAGCTGATCATATCGATTCTACATCCTCAGATCCGTTTGAAATAACCATTTGGGTAACACAACCTCACTGAAAGGCAAGCCATTCCACCAAGCGTAGCCAACAAATCAGCCAACAAAAAAATATCCTGCCAAACCCATCACATCCCAGCAGCTTCTCGTTGAATTTCTCCCAGGTTTTGACGAAGGTCAAATTGTAACCTCATCTTCAGCATCATGAATGTTACGAATGAAAATTATGTGTCAGTGACAGACATATTGGAAGTCCACCAACATTCCAAGTGCTTGCACACATACCCAAAGCCATCCACGGATCTGAATGAGGACATAAGTTTGAGTGAGCACCGCACCAACAACGCCATGAACCCCTGCAACCATCCAAGCAAATACCAAGGAGCATGGCTGTGTGCATTGCTCCAGCTCTTCGTCCTTTGGGACAACATGGACAAGTGTGACACTTCTGATGCAATTGGTTGGGCCTAAGGCGCATGGTTACGTAGGCCTGGACGTGCTTGATCTCTTCAGGCGTCAAATCCAAACATGAGTCCAAACCGCATTTTCCTACCATTCCAATTGGTCATATCGGACTTCAAAACAACACTGAATCTCCAATTTGGCACTGGCATTGTTCAAGGAGGATTTAAGGGGAGAGAACACACATACACACACATATATATATATATAACATAAAATACATGATATATATGTATATTTACATAGGACATCATAGGACTACAAGCTCCAAAATTCATCATGTAAAACGGGCGAAACATGTGCAACAAATATGTGAAACTTGACCACCAATGCCACGGACGGTGGATCAGTGGAACTGAAAATCGATCGCTAAGCTTTGCATAGCGAGGCAAGAGAGTTGCAAAAGATCTACATACATACTTCTGTACTTCAGCCAATGCGTGCAGGTCATCTTTGGTCAACGGAAAAATTAAATACGTCTCCAAACGAAAATGAGAACCACATGTCGCTCGCTTGCCCCAAAAAGCTGAACCCACCGGCAAAATGGAACGCCCAAACCAAGTTGAACTCCAGGTGCAAACAGGAGCATATATAAATAGCGACCTTGAACTCCTCTGATTTGATACCCCAACAAGAGGGAACCCCTGCAATACTCATTGCAATCGCCTTTGCAATCTACAAATATGTGCTTCCTGGCCAAGCATCTGTCTTGTTACCCTCATGGCAGCCACCACAACTGGAAAATCCTAATAGCTGCGCTTGTTGTGCCAGCAATCAAAGTTCGACAACTGAAGTGACATGTGGGGGCTTGCCCTTTACACTGCAGAAATCATGATTTTGATTGCTTGTAGGAAATGTTCAACATCTTCCCCCAACCATGAAAAAGAAACATCATTCAGAAACACAAAAACTACACGATTAATTTTGGGAAATTTCAGACTGTTCAATTTGATTTTTACTTGATCCCCTTTCGAAACCAAATTAAAAATGAAGGTCCCATTTGCGGAAACAGCGCAGCTACAATAGCAGCTGAGTGTCTGGGGAACATCACCGGCGTCCATGTTGGATCTTGTTCCAGGAGCTTGTTGGTGCCCATGTTTACCAAGTTCCATCCAGCAAATATCAATATTATCGAGAGGACTGCAAAGAGTATGCAGCAGCACACAGCACATGGAAACACATATTTCCTGAGTTTTCATCTGGAAGCTGCTCAATTGTTGTTATATAGGTCTTCCGGCAATTTTTGTTGATTGTCACTGGGAAGATGGGATTTGCACCATCCTCTTAATCGCAACCAACCTTTCTTTGCATCTTTGGTGAGATGCCCTCGGGTGGTCTCCTCTCATTTCAACCATATTCAACCATACTTTCCACAGAGAATATCGGAACGCACCCCCAACCCTTTGACTTGCTTGCAAGATCTTGCAACTGGAGAAGGAATTGGTTCATGTCATTGATATTGTATGTGTCACGATTTGATACAATGTCGAAGGACCGTGAAGGCTCAAGAAGCAAAGAGGCAAAGGCACGGAGAGAACTGCTGAAGGACGTAATAACTTAACCTGCAAGTGTCTTCGATGACGCTGAGAGCCTCCATGTTACCAACCAAGAATATCCAACTATATACAACAATCCAAGTTGAGGCCAAGCTCGTATGGCCTTACAAAGCACAAGAAACTGCTCCCAAGGCTCTTGATGGATTTTAGGAAAGTAGGAGATCCATCCTCGTCGGATGTTTCGAACCTTCCTGGGTCGAAGCCACTGAGTTCTGTCCAGCTCGCGTCATAAGATTCTTGGAATGTCACATGACCATGGGATACCATGGGAATAGAATAAACATGAATAAACTATCACTGGCCGGGGCTACCCAAAACGACGTCGATCCTTGTTGTTACTGTACATTCATTCTACTGGAAAACAATGCTTTGTGTTGTATGAGGGATGTTTCAGTTTCAGCCATGACAAGGACACCAAGAGTGTTCTACCTGAGCCGATTGTTGATCGATCACTGCCAAAACCACTGCGTTTTGGCAGATTCTTGTGAAATTCCAGCCCAAGCACATCTTACTGTCGTTTCCAGCTTGCTTACACACTCCATCTTATTCTCAAAGTGACCCGTCACGCTCTGTTTTCTTTTCCAGTAGTGCATAGCAAGCGTACTTCCAAAATCTTCCAAACACAAAGTCTGACTCTATGGAGCCAGAGAAATGATAAACATTAAACATTGATAAACTACTATGATAAACTAACCGCTAATTGACCTTTCAAGTAAAATCTCTTGTGGGTGCAGCTGTGCAGTGTGGCCCCAGACTGAAGCAAGTAACCTGTGTTGAGCTCCTCGTGCAGCGACTTGTATGCGGGTACAGCGGTAGACCTGAAGACCAAAAACGACAAACATGGTGTGACAAAGGGAGCCATGAAGAATGGCCATGAATCAAAACATACCAAAACCCTGGTGCTCTGGTGAAAATCGAAATAGTTACAAGTACGAGCGGGCGCCGTAAGTCACAAATGGCAAATGGCTGTTCATCCCTCAAATCCGCCCGCACCAAAGGTGCCGAGGCGTGGTAGTTTAGCAGCGAGTGACACGGGCAGTTCGACTGCGCAAGCTCCCCAACAACTTGGGCTCCAGTTGGGCCTTTGGGGGGCAGCCCAGGCCCAAGTTGGGCCCAACTCAAGCCAATTTTGCGGACTCAATGCGACACGCTGAAAGCATGCATGTTTACCGCTATTTCCACCGATTTCCACCGCTTTTTGGCTTTGATGGGGGTTCGTGCAAAGTCATGTTGCACATTGGGCTTGTCTTAGGCCCAACTTGCGTCCAAACGTGCCCAAGTTGCGCCATGTTGGACCCCAGTTGGGCTCAAGTTGGAGCCACTGAGTTCGGCACAAGTTATGCCCAAGTTGGGCCCAAGTGGGCTCCTGTTCGGCCCAACTTAAGGCCAAGGACGGCCCAAGTTTGACCCCAGTCGGCCTTTGGTTGTGCCAAGTAGGCCCGCTTCTTTCCTCTCTGTCCTATTCCCTGGGTGCGGGCGGTTCTCGTCGCGAAGCGACTTGAATAATGGTGCTATTAAGATCTATTAAATATTAAAGGTTTCAAGCCAACCCCAAATAGCAAGGCTGCTCGAGCAGGCTTGGAATTTGCCGAGTTGCATCTGACTGCGTTGCTGCACCGTTTATGACGTGACTTGGGCCACATAGCTGAGGGAATTCGAAATGGTGTACGAACAAAGTATCACAACCCGATGGGCATCTGACTGACCAGCAATAGCTGGAATATATAAATAGCATTAAATAGCTAATTACTGAAGAACGTCTGTGACATCAACATGTACCATACAAATGACATCCTTCAACACCATTTCTGGAAAGGCGGGTGCAGCCGCAGGGACATCTGGAACTTGACTACCCTAATTTCATTAAATTGTGGTACCCAGCAAATCCGGCTGCACCAAGCAACAACACCGATCCATTTATGAAATTGTGAGTCATGTCAGGCTCAATGTACGAGTAGCATCCCTTGTCAAATTTGTACATCGCAACAACATCCCTCCAACTTGCCCACTAATAGAACATCCGAGGATCTTCGTCTAGTGCAAAGGAGGGCAACAGTTTCAGAAGTCGGAGTGTATGAAGGAAGACAGCATCAGCAGGTTTGATCCAAAGGCGTGGCGTCCAAACTGACTGCCCTGAAGGAGCCCATAGTGCTGAAAGGAGCCACAAGCCACTGGTCTCGCTGCCTCCCCTGGAGCTTGAAAAGAACCAAATGAGAATCCTCCGAAAAAACTTCACCATCTTCATCTTCCCCCATTGAAATTGGCGCGCATGATGCGCATGTGGGGAATTGTTTCAACATATTTGAAGTACCATGGAGCCCCTGAGGCACCGGGCTCGAATGATACCATAGCCTGGATTGGCAGGAAGCATCTGGAAACCAACATCAATGCTCGTACCAGAATCCGAACAGCTCACTTGCCGCTGGAAAATGTCTCAAATCTTGAGAGGCCTGTAGCAGCACCACTGATGAATTCCCTGCAAATCATACACGGCACCAAGCCAAGCGATAGCCTTGCCCATTTATGTGCTGTATGTTGCTGTCATATTCACAGGTTCTGGGGTGCCGGGCATTACTTTCATGACAATTAGACTGTTCAACCTCTTGGATATTGTCAGCACGAAGAATGATGTCCCAAATGGCACAAAAAAGAAGCTTCGGGATCCCAACAAATTGATACAAATTGCATATCGGCATATCGCCCATTTTTGGGGTTCCCTACGGTTCCCTGTTGGCTTCGGGGGGCTGCTACGCTACACGACTGGCTGATCCAAGGTGCCATCAAAATAGCCCGCACGGCCAGCTACCTGGCATGGAGATGATGCCCAGCGGCCACGGCATGCCACGGCCATGGGATGGCGCGGAGGATGTCACGGGGAGAAAGTGCAGCCAGGAAGGCGTTGATGTCTTCCTTGAAGGTGATTCGCACAATGGACACGTTGTCTGCCTTAGGATTCGGTCAACTTTGGAATTCTGCAAACATCTCGACATACTTCGGGGTGCAGTTCCAGTTAATCAGTTCAGCTAATCAGTTTTAAGTTATAAGTGGATATATAACCATAGTTGTAGGGGCCCCATATCCCAATTCATGGGGGCATAGATTGTGACAATGGCTATGCCCAGTTAGCAACGACCCCTGGTCTGCACCCCCAATGGTCATCCGAGATGACCAAGTCCCCGTGGACCTGACCCAAGTTGTCTCACCATGCTCTGGACTAATTATCACGATCAAATATATTTCGAATACATACATTACATTTCATTACACTGCATTACATTACTTTACTTTACTTTACACTACATTACATAAATTACATAAATTACATACATTACATACATACATACAGACAGACATACATACATGCATGCATGCATGCATGCATAACATACATAACATAGCATAACATAACATAACATAACATACATACATCCATCCATCCATGCATCCATACATACATACATACACATTTACACATATACACATATACACATATACATACATACATTACATTACATTACATTCCATTCCATTCCATTCCATTCCATTCCATTACATTACATACATTACATACATTGCATACATTACATGAATTACATACATTACATACATTACATACATACATTACATTACATTACATTACATTAAATTACATTACATTACATTAATTACATACATTACATACATTACATACATTACATACATTACATACATTACCTAAATTACCTACATTACATACATTACATACATACATACATACATTACATTACATTACAATACATTACATTACATTACATTACATGACATTACATTACATTACATACATATTACATTGCATTACATACATCACATACATACATCACATACATACATCACATACACACATACATACATTATATTACATTACATTACATTACATGACATGACATGACATGACATGACCTGACATGACATTACATTACATACATACATATCGGTCTCAAACCCCCTCCCCAGGGGGTCTAACCTGAAAATTTATAGGTATAAAATGGGGGTATGGTTCCCCTACTCAACAACATAGTGGGGGGTGTATCCCAGCAACTTGGGTACTATAAAACTAGATGGCATCTATAAAATGAGCAGCAGTGAGGCTATCCTCAAAGTACCGTAAGATGCCAGAAGCAGGCTTGTTTAACCTGGATGCCATAGGGAACAAAAAGTTGTCATCCATGTTTCGTCGATGCAGATAAATCTATATAATTTTGGACAATTGTTAAAGAGGACCTAAAAAAATGCCAACTAAACTACATCAAAATCTTTACATCTTTACCAGCATGTCACATGTCTCAACCAAAGCGGCTGCCTGATACATCTTGACGCGCAAGCTTGCTTCTTTTTTCTCCCCGGCTTCAGATCCCCAGTGCTTCACATTGCTTCCCTATGCCTTTGGATTTGGAAAGTTAGGGGTTTTACAAATGCCAAGGGTGGTCCTTGACCATGCAGCCTTCGAAGAGATTTGAGAAGAGATGGCTTTAAATCAAATTGAATACAATTCTGTATGTGTCTGCCACGACCTAGCATTTTTGGTCAAAAGTTTGCATGTTTTTTTGCTTTCCCATTGCGTTCTCCAGGGAAGAGACAGTTTTCTGGCACCCTCATAGGGTCACACCCCCTCATTTTATAGAGTGGGGTTCTCTGCAGAAGCCTTGTGCTGGTTGGGCTCACAAATTGTTGATTTTGTTGTATACCCCTGCACAATTCTGTGTATGCCTGCTAGAACCTAGACACTTTTGGTCAAAAGTTTGCATGATTCTTGCTTTCCCATTGCGCTCTCCAGGGAAGAGACAATTTTCTGGCACCCTCATAGGGTCACACCCCTTCATTTTATAGGGGGGGTTCTCTGCAAAAGCCAAGTTTTGTTTGTTCGTGCTGGTTGGTCTCAGAAATGGTTGATTTTGTTGTATACCCCTGCACAATTCTGTGTATGTCTGCCATAGCCTAGACTAGACATTGTTGGTCAAAAGTTCGCATGTTTTTGCTTTCCCACTGCAAGAGTGTTGTGACTGCTCCCCCTCCGTTGGAGTGGTTGTTTTCTGCAAGGGAAAAAACATAACTTGAGATAGGCTACGATAAGCAAATGTCATGTTCAAATGGTCCAGCAATTTCCAAGTTTCAAAAATCATTTTAAAAAACATTAACAAAAATTAACCACCAAGCACAACTGCCTACCAGTATAAAATGACCAGCACTGAGGCTACCTAAAAACGTGCATTTTGCACTAACCCCCCCAATTTACTATTCTGTCAGGTGCGATGGATGACACGCACAAATCACAGAAGTGTACCTGTATACCGCAGGCATTTTGGTTTGGAAAACAGGCACGGGCTTTGTCGTTGTCGAGGGTTATGAGCCCAACCCTTGCGTCTCCACTGGGCTTTTGAAATAGCCATGGAAGTTGGTGGTTCTAGATCCCATTCAGTGCCTGTTGGGGATCGAAACGGCCCAGGTGGATTGGAAGTGAATCCTTTCTACTCCGAGAAAAGGCCAAGGACCAATGCAGGTTAGATGCAGCGAGACCTAAGGAATTGCCTGCGCAAGAAGAAGAAGTTCTAGCTGGAAGTTTTAGCAGTCCTGAATTGGCAATTCAGTCCAACGTGGATGGCAACCCTACTGGAAAAGGTCGAGGTGTTTCGGCTGGTGTGATGCCGATGAATGAGACCGAGGTGGGGATCCGCGTGTTGAAGACTGAGGGAAAATTACCAACTGTGGCTACTGGAACCAAAGGGGAACCTGAAAATCTTGCAACTGGTGATGGAAATGGTTTGCAAAGAGCTCTGGAAGTAGAAATGGTTGATTTTCTACGTCAGCAAAATTCGAAGCTACAAAGTGAAGTAGCGGCTCTCAAGGAGAAACTGGAAAAGTCTTCGGGGGCTGGGTCTTCACCATGGCCAAGAATAGACGGGATTGGAAGTGGGTCTGCAAGTGATTCACAAAGACATGACCGTCATGTGAGAAATGGTAGTAGAACACCCCGTGGTGCTGTTCGTGAAGTTGCAGTTAGTCCTGAGAGAATAGCCAAAAAGGACTCACTGAAATTCACACCAAATGGTACTCGTGTGCCGGATGGTCCACCGCCAACTGCAAGTGTCAGCTGTTTGCCTCCTGTGCCACCTTTGCCAGTCGTTGAGAATGAGCAGGTTGGGGGTAGTCAGCGTGTGGGCACCAGTTTTGATGATGGACTGTATGATACATGCGAATCAAAACCGCGTGTGAAAAATGGTGATGTTCAATGGAAACCTCATGATGAAAAAGGGAATGATGCAATTCTTTCTCCTCAAGAGGCAAAACAAGCATGGTTGGAAAGAGAGGTTCGGTCTTTGAAAGTTGCACTGGATAGGGTAGCTGTTCCACCAACTCTGACTGAATCTGGGTACTGGAATCCAGCGGGCTGCAATGCGCATGGAAAAGATGTACGTCACTTGCTTCCTGGAAGTGGTGAAGATGCACAACAAGGTCGGGCTCAGCAGTCCTATGATGGTCTTCAAGGCGGTGATCGGGCTTCGCAGGTGCTTGGTGATGCTGCTCAACAAGGTCGGGCTCTACGTGGCGCTGTGCATGGTGAAGGTGCTCAACAAGATCGGGCTCTGCATGGCACGGTGCTTGGAGATGATGCTCTACGTGGAGCTGCGATTGGAGATGGAGGAGCTCATCATGGTCGGGCTTTGTATGGCACTGCGCTTGGAGATCTACCTGGACATGATCGGGCTTTGCATGGTGGTGCGGCTGAACTTCATGGTCTTCCTCGTGAAGGACGTCTTCGTGGTGGCGCTGCTGAACAACTTCATGGTCTTCCTCGAGATGAACGACTCCATGGTGGCGCTGAACTACATGGTCTTCTTCGTGACGGACGTCTTCATGGTGGAGGAACTATGGGTGTAGCACCAATGCCGGCATCATGGGAGGCATCTGGAGGTGGAAGTGGTGGAAAAGCTGAGCTGCCAACGTTGCCGAATGGTGCATCGCCGTTGGAGTTTGGAGATTGGCTTTGTCTTTGTGGTCCCATCATGAAGGATCTTTCCCATGTTGCTGGAAGATGGTGGGATGCTACGGTGCGACAAGCTCATGCCTTCTACATGGAATGGAAGGGACTATCTCCTCTTCAGCGAGTTCAACTTTGCCCTCGTCTTCCTGATGAGTTAATGGCAAGCTGCTTCATCAGAACGGAGCAGCGGGGTGTCACGCTTTTGCTCAAAGCAGTGAGCGATGAGCAGCAAAGGGAGCTGGTGGTGGATCGAGATCTCAGCAGCACAGCGATACTTTTTCGCTTGTATGTGCGACATCAACCAGGCGGACCTGGAGAGAAGGCAATCCTCTTGGGCCAATTGACGTCGCTGCACAAGGCATCTACGATGCAGGAATTGGCTTCGTCTCTGAGAACATGGCGGCGATACTTTGCAAGGGCTCGGGAGGTGGACGCAAGTTTGCCTGATGGAGTGCTGTTGATAAAGGCACTTGAAGCTGCGGTTGTCCAGATTGCCAAGGAAGACTCCCAAGCAGCGTTCAGGCTCTCCACAAGCCGACAACAACTTGCACTGGATCAACACCCTACGGAGCAATCAATTTGGAGCTTTAGCCAATGTCTGCTTGCCGAGGCGGAGACGCTGAGTTTGCTGAAGTCCTCCTCTACCACAACAACAAATGCGAGCACACCTGTGAGGCTCAAACAGATGGATGCTGAAGCATCAAACTCACCTCAAAAACCAGGCACTCCTGGCAACTATGGCAACAAGTCCGGCAAGGGACACTCAACTCCTATGTCGGAGCAACCATGCAAGTTCTTCAAGAGCGACACTGGATGCAAAGCCGGTCGAAGCTGCAAGTGGTTTTACTCTTGGGAGGGCATCGAGGACAAGAACAGTCGATGCTGGATCTGTGGCGGAAAAGACCACAGAAAATCTGAATGCAAGATCAAGGGCAACAACAAACCTTCGTCCTATGACTCTGGTTTGGGGGGAGGACGTGGTGGAAATCAAAATGCAGCCAACAACAAAGCGGCTGTCAAGCAAGCTTCAGTTGGAAAAGGTCATGATGGTGTAGCTGCAAGCTCAACAACTGATCAAACCTCTTCTAGTACGTGCGCTGATGGTCCAGGACTGGGTGCTGAGAGTAACTCCCTTGGGGCTTCATCTAGTGCAACCTCGGAGGTGGATAAGGGGGGAGCTCCAGCTGCCACTCCTGCGACCACTGAACTGTTGGCAGAAGCCACTCAGTTGCTGAAGTCTTTGCGTATGCCCAACCTGAAGGTGATGCGACTGTCAAACCTGCAGCCTCATGCTCAAATGGTGTTGCTGGACTCTGGTGCAACACATGGTCTACGTCCTGCAGTTTCAGAAGAAGAATGGCAGTCTGGCACAAGAACTCAGGTGATGTTGGCCGATGGTGTCACAGAAAGCCTCCGTTTGAAGCCTGGCACCAAAGTTTCGCTTTCCGACCCTCTCCTTCGGCCTGAAAATACCTCTTGGATCGTTCCAATGGGATGCTTGAACGAGCTCAACTACAAGTTGGTGTGGAAAGACCACATGTGCCATCTCTACACAAAAGCTGGAGACAAGGTCGATGTGGAACTTCACAATGGATGTCCCTACGTTGCTCATGAATTTGGAGCGAAGCTGCTGACGGTGTTGGAACAGCATCAAATTCAACAAGAGCTGAAAAAGATGACCTTGAAGTCCATCTTAACAAGAGGTGCTGCCGGTCTTGGCAACAACATGAGCATTGAAATGGCGATGCTTGTCAAGCTCAAGGAGGTCATGCCGACTTTGCCTGAAGATTTGGCGTTGAAGCTGGTTCCAGATCTCTCAGTGCTTACGGACCCCAACATCGGCTTGAACCTTCCATGGAATCGCAGAAAGCGAAAAAGACTCATGATGGCAAAGAATGTGATCATCCACATGTACAGTGGACCTGATGCTTCTTACTGGGAGCGGCGTTTGTCAAATGAGCACACTGAGGTGCTGTGCGTGGACTTGGAAGCCTCAACACCTTCAAATGCTTTGGATGAAACAACCTTTGCGTTTTTGCTTTCCTTGTGCGCCAGCAAACGTGTCAAAGCTCTCCTTGGTGGCCCTCCATGCAGAACAACAAGTGCTCTCAGGTTTCAAAAAGATGATGGTCCACCAATTCTTCGAACAGAAGATCACCCATATGGTTTGCCATCATTGACTCCACAACAAGCTGAATTGGTCACCAATGACTCAATTCTGTGGCTCCGGTTGATGCTGATGTACATCCTCTGCGAAGAAGTGCGTCCAAAAGAACAAGCTCAAACTGCATTTCTTTGTGAACAGCCTCAAGACCCAGCGGAATACCGCAAGAAGGAGGATGTGGATGAGCACCAGTACTTTTCAATGTGGAGAACTCAGGAATGGAAAAGCTTCCAAGAAGCCTACAACGCCAAGCTGATCTCTTTTGATCAAGGGCCTTTTGGACACCCAAAACGAAAGCCAACCACTTTGGCCTTGATCAACATGAATGAGATGATGCAGCTACAAGATGTGCGAGGTCGTGGAGCTGAACCTGAAGTTGCTACGCTACCAGAACTCAGCGTGAAAGAAAGATGTGCTCTGTCAAAAACTTGGGCGGCTTGGGCACCTGGTTTGAAGGCTGCAGTTGCCGAAGCAATCAGCAGATGGATCCGCCGTGAAGCGCCTCCACGTGAAGGACTTGAAGATCCTACTGGCGTTGTTTACGCCGAAGACGATGTCCGACCTGTTGGTGTCGCTGCAATTGGGAATGTTGCCCTTCAACAATGGAAGCAACACTACTTGCAGGACCACATGCCGGCCCGTCGAGATTGCAGCCACTGTGTACGTTCTCAAGGTCGCAGTCGAGCACATCGCCGAGTTTGTCATCCTGAAAGCTTCACTTTGAGTTTGGACATGTCCGGTCGGATGACTGGTGGCAAGGACCAAACTCCTGGTACCAACAAATACTTCTTGGTTGGAGTTTACACATACCCCGTCAACAAAAAGGGGAAACCACTGTTGTTGCGCCCTGACCAAGATGAAGAGGAAGATCACCCTCTGCCTGGCCTTGACGACCCTGAGCTCTCTGGTGATCCTCAAGAACAACAACCTGGAGATGGTCAACCACCTCAACAACATGGTGAACGAGTTCAACAACCAGGGGGCCATGAAGCTCAACATGAACAAGGTCTTCCTGCAGGAGTTGCACAAGATGAACCTGATCCTCTCCAAGAAGAATCGGTTCCTGACCTTGTGGAAGATGAAGAGGTGAAGTCAGCCTATGGAATGCACGACACTTGGATGCGCCTCATCAATGAGTCCAAGGATGTCACTGTGCGCAACCTCACTTTTGCAGAGCCCATTGCAGATCGAAATGATTCGAAATGTGCACAACGTGCTGCCGGCGATCGCCAAGATCTATGCTCGTTTGCGCTCTTTGGGCTGCCCTGTGTACCGAATGCACAGTGACCGTGCACGTGAATTTTTGGCACGACCTGTCCATCAATGGTGTCTTGACCGTGGAATAGTTCAAACTATGACACCTGGCAGTGCTTTCAAAACAAATGGCAGAGCTGAAAACGAAGTTGGGATGATCAAAAAAGGTGTCCGCACTTTGATCTCTGCTGGAGCATGCCCGTTGGACAGATGGCCTCTTGCGGTGCGACATGTTGGAGAAAGACGTCTCCGCAATCAACTCAACCAAGCAGGCTGGCCAGTTGGAAAACTTTTGAGGTTTGGCTCCAAAGCCTATGCCCTCAAGAAAAGCTGGCAAGATCGCTACGCTCAATGGCGTGATTGCCGAGAAGAAGTTGTGGTGTGGGGCCCTGCTGAAGGATCTTCTATAACCACTACAACATACTATGTCAAAGCAATTGCAACGGAAAGGTGCTTCTACACAGATGATGTGGTGATTCCTGCGGATGATGGCATGAATGCAGCTGTCGATGCTGGTCCCGGGGGAGAAGTTTTGCCATATCTCCCTGAACGTGATGGTGGCCAAGCTCAACCTCTTTTCCGTGATGGGGTGCCAGCACGAAGATTGAGATCAAAGACAGCTCCGCCTCCAGCAATTGCCACTATGTCAATGTTGCACATTGAGGGGGAGAAGCGCATCCTTGCAAAGTTTGGCAGTGTGTTTGAGTTTGCGCTGCCGCCTGACAATGAAGTTGCCTCTGAAGGTTCATGGACTTTGGAAACAACGCTTTCTCCAGCACAACAACATCCACCTCAAGAACAACAAGAAGTTCATGATGCTCCGCTACCAGGGCATGATGATGAAAAGGATGGTGATGGGGGGCAAACAGAAACTGATGAAGTTCATGATCAAAAGGAGGAGGAAAGTGATGTGGAGGAGGATTTGGGGGAGGCGCCTAACAGCAGAGACGGTGGCTCAAGCTCTGCGGCCTCAAATGTATCAAGAAATGTTCTGGTTAGAATGTCAAAGATACAAGCCCTCCAAACCATCCACGACAATGTCTCGGACTATATAGCCGAGGAGATCTGCAAGATTGATGGCACCTTCCCTGAACAAATGTGGTGTCTTCCTGAGCTCAACAAAGCTCTGGTTAGAAAGGTTGAAGTTGAAGAACAAATTCAACTACTTGTGGATGAAGACCGAGCTGAAGAACAACAACAGTTGACCCATGAGTTTTTGGTCACCAAAACAGTCAGCAACAAAGAGGTTCGTGAAAACCTTGCCGATTGGACTGAATCCATCAAGGCTGAGTACGAGCAGCTTGTCGTCAACAAAAAGGCTGTCAAACCAATGACAAGAACGGAACTCCAAAAAATGGCTGAAGTGCAGAACAAAACTTTGGAGATCCTTCCAGCAAAAATGGTTCACACTAGAAAAGCTGGATCAGGAGCATACCGTTCAAGAGCAGTGGTGTGTGGAAACTACCAGACACCAAATGACGACAACACGTACGCTGGAAGTGCTGATGCAACACAGATCCGAACAATGCTAAGGATCAGTGCTCAGTACAAGTGGAAAGCTGCTTCAACAGACATACGAACGGCGTTCCTCAATGCGCCGAGAAGAGACTCCAGACTCATAGCTATGGAAGTGCCGCATGTGTACAAAATGTTGGGCCTGGCTGGACCTGATGAAGTTTGGCTCATCATGCTTGCAATGTACGGACTCCATGCTTCACCAAGGGACTGGTGTCTACACCGTGATGCAGTTTTGCCAACGTTGAAGTGGACAAGGCAAGGTCAAAACGGGCTGCTGACTGGAAGTTTTGAGAAAACAAAAGATGAAAATGTTTGGCGCTTGGAAGAACTGGATGAATCAGGCTACATCCACTGGAATGGCTTCATGTCGGTGTATGTGGACGACATCTTGGTCACTGGTGAAGAGTTTGCAGTTCATGGCGCTCTACAAGCTCTTTCTGGAGTTTGGACAACCTCTTCTGTGGAGTGGGCTGGTGTTGACAAGCCTCTCAAGTACTGCGGTTTTGAGATTTCTGAAGATGCCAAAGGCGATGGTTTTCATGTCAACCAGCACATGTACGAGCAGGAGATGTTGCAACGTTGGAATGTTGATGAAGGAGTTGAATATCCTCACTACAAAGTTGCTGAGGATCAAGAAGTTGAAGAAAGCCCTGACCCAAATGATGTCAGGACAGCTCAAGCTATGGCTGGTTCTTTGCTGTGGTTGAGCTCCCGAACACGACCTGACCTTGCTCATGGAGTTGCAACAATGAGCAGGCTCATGACAAAGGCTCCTGTCAAAGCCATCCAGATCGGCACAACGTTGATGAAATACGTCAAGGGAAACCCTGGCGTTGGTCTGAGGTATACAACGAATGTTCCTGATGACTGGGGCGCCCATGGCCAGCTGAAGGTGAAAAGAAGTGACCTGCTTTTGGAGATCTTCTGCGACATAGCCTACTCAGCAGGTTCTGGCCACAGAAGCGTCCAGGGGATCGTTGTTTGCCTTGGTGGTCAGCCGATCTGTTGGCAAACAAGCCAACAACCTTTTGTCACCCACAGCACGGCTGAAGCTGAGTTGGTGAGCTACTGTGAAGGCCTGATCGCTGGCAAAGCAGCTGAAGCTCTGGTGATGGAGCTCACAGGTGTTACAGCTGTGATGAAAGTCATCTATGGTGACAACATTGCCGCGATCGGACTGGCCAATGGAACTACGGCTTCTTCATGGCGTACAAGACACTTGCGCATCAGAGCAAGTCTTTTGAAACAAGCGCTGGATGAAACCGATGCAGCTGGAGGCCAATGGAAGCTGATCCATGTGCGTGGCCTTGACTTAGTTGCTGATGGTTTTACAAAGCCTCTTTTTGGAGCTGCCTTTCAACGTTTTGTGGAAAACCTGGGCATGAATGCGCCGTTTTTGAGGCCCGAAGACCCTGAAATACGTGCTGCTCAAGTGCGAAGCCATGGCAGCAGAGAGCGTGTTCATGCTGGTGCAGCTTCTGCAATGAGCTTTATAGTGGGGCAGACTCTTTTGGCCGAAGCCGAAGCTTTGGAAATCAAGGGAGAACAAGATGAAGCGGATCCACTTTGGATTGCTGCGGTGGTTTGATGATCCTGGGGGCAATCTATGCTGGCAAGCTAGCAGTTCAAGCTGGTCAATGCTGCATGCGTCGATTGCAAGTGTGGTTGTCTGCGCCGTCAACGCCTTCTGGTGAGATGCAAGCTTCATCAACATGCTCCACTACCAAAAAGGATGATGAAAATGATGATGAAAGAAGATCTGGGTTGAGGTGGCGAACGAGCACTTCAAGCAGCTTTGGCCCTGTGCAGGCCCCTTCAGCTGGATCTTCGAGTAGCGTTGGCCCTGTGCAGGCCCTTTCAGCTGGATCTTCGAACGTTGGCCCTGTGCAGGCCCTTTCAGCTGGATCTTTGAGCACTGGCCCTGTGCAGGCCCCCATCGCTATGTCCTTGCGTGTGTCTGGCCCTGTGCAGGCCTCAAGTTCAACGACTTCTGTCTCTATAACTGCCGAGAGTGCTGGCCCTGAGCAGGCCCATTTTGCTGGATCTGGTGTTGGCCCTGTGCAGGCCTGGCGATCTACGAATGCGGCTGCAGGAGCATCTTCGAGCAGTGCTGGCCCTGTGCAGGCCTCTTCCTCAAGCAGCGCTGATCTTGGCCCTGCGCAGGCCTTGCGATCTACAAGTGCGGCTGCTGGCGGATCTATGAGTTTTGGCCCTGTGCAGGCCTCTGCGGCTTCTTCAGGTCCTGAGCAGGCCTTTGCGGCTGACGTGTCTGGCCTTGAGCAGGCCCTGGGCGCTGTGGCAGAAATCTCTGGGCATGCTGCTGCTGGTGGCGACATTGAGCGCGCATTGCAGCGGCGAGCAGCCGAAGTGAGCGAGGCACTTTTGGGTGGTGAAAGGTCTGAAATGACTTTACATAACCCATGGAATCTTTTTCAACATGAACATAGAGGCAAGGGATGGTCGCCTGCAAAAATGTCGGCGATGTATAAAAAATGGAAAGGTCATCCCGGAAAGGATAAAATGCCTTGAGCCTACAATTTTAGGTCCTTTAATTTTGTCTTGAAATTCAAATTTCAAATTCCATGCGTTTTCGGCAGGGAGCCGATCTGTCCTTCGAATCGTGCAAATCACGATTGGGGGAGTCTGTCAGGTGCGATGGATGACACGCACAAATCACAGAAGTGTACCTGTATACCGCAGGCATTTTGGTTTAGAAAACAGGCACGGGCTTTGTCGTTGTCGAGACTATAAAATCAGGGGGTGAAGCCCACAAAAATATCCATAAAGATTTCGTTTTATAGGGGGGGTGACCCTCTAGATTTTATAGGGAGGTATGAGACGAGTATATACATACATACATACATGCATGCATGCATGCATACATACGTACATACATACATGCATACATGCATACATACATACACACATACATACATACTTAAATTACATTACGTTACATTACATTACATTACATACATGCATGCACATGTGTATTTATATATATATATATATTATCTGCACAATAATGTTTAACTCGTTGCCACATACTATAAATACGTGTTTAGAATCATTTAGACATAATTGTCAAGAATATTCAAGAATCATATTATCCAATATTATCATATATTATCCACATATATTTCAACAAACCGGCTGGCACTCAAACATCTTCCCGCCGCGGTGCATGAAAAAGTCGACCCAGCTCGCGGTTGGCAAAGCGCAACGCCAAAATATTGAGTACCTCGCATTCACTGAATGGAAATGGGAGATTGGACCTGTTTGGAAACCTGGGAGATCCTCGGAGAAAAAAATTGGCCTTGCTGAGGCCAGCAGGCGACATCTCATTTCCATTCAGGACGGGACAGCCAAGTTTCTCTGTACGGAGCTCAAGACACTTATCTGCATCTCAGCAAGACTCACAACACTCAAAGCAGCCAAAGCATGCCAAGGCACCATATTCTTCGCCAAGTAGTGATCGATGCGATAGACCTGGCTCCTGGCTTCCAGGCTCAGATCCAGCGTCCATCAGTGTCCCATATTTAGAGGCAAATCAAAAGGTTGGGGCCAGTGAATGGTGTCAGTTTAGATGTTTAGATTCTACCCTTACTTCAAATTATAATAATTATATATATATAAATACCTAGCGCATCAAGAACCCACAAATTTGTAGGTTTTTTTTTTCCAAAAACCCGGTTTTCTTCAGTTATGAAAAAAACTCTGTTTTTCTCAGAAAATATGTTTTTTCTTTACTAGGGAAAAAACCTACTTTTTCTCACACTTGGCGTCATGACTTCTCATGATTCGTTCCCTTGGACGATTCAAACCCGTTTATTGATACCAGCCTTGGATCTATCCCTCTCAGTACCCTTCATGTTGATTATACTTCGACCCCGCTGGCTTGGCTGGCAGTTCTCACAAGAAAGGGCCCGATGCTCTTGGAACATGTCGGACAACATTAAGTGTGATCACAGTCAATCTGGAGTCGTTGGATGATGTTTTTTCCCAAGAACCACCCCCAGAAGCATAAATTGAAACATTGCTGTATTTTTTCATTTGGACAAAATGATTCTGGATTGCCAAAGCCCAACAAACAAAAGTACCGAACAAATTACCAAAATCAAGAAAAATCAATCGTAATTTTCAGTTTTTAATCATTTCGGATGACAATTTTAGGATCTGTACCCGATTTTCCAAAAAATGCCAAAAACCCATATTTAAGCCGTACTAAGCCGTACTGAACCCATATTTAACCCATACTAAACCCACATTCTGATATAGTTTTTTTTTTAATGGAACCATTTGGAACCCATATTTGACCCATATTTAACCCATACTAACCCTTACTCAAACTATGAGTTGTTTGCCTCTGCGAATTGACGGCGCGACGTCGAGTTTTAAGGCTCCGCTTGTGGTTTTGCAAGATCGAACCGGTAATTGCCCGATCCAGACAAAAAGAAAGCAACGCAGATTACCGGAGCTATTGTCAATTTACTGGGTTCATATCTGAAAAGCTGACTTTTGAAATGCCATGCGTATCCATTGACTTTTTGACTACCTCCAGTCCCGCTGAAGGGAAAGTTCGCAGCATAGGGGTAACTGCAGCCGGTGGAGAAAGCGCGCATCGTGTCTGATAACGCTTGCTTCGGTTTCGATCGCGCGTTCTGTCTGACAGATTTCACAAGTTGTCAGTATGAAATTGCTACATGTAATGAGGAGAAATTTGATACAGGTCCACCCGATTTGGACAAATTTGTGCAAATCCAACAAAAACCAAAATATGGGTTCTTTACCAAAAACCAAGTTTTTCTCAAAAAAAACTATAGGTTTTTTTCACTGGACCTACAATTTTTTGGGGTCTTTGGAAGCTCCTGGTAATTATATATGTATATATATATTTTTCCGGAATATGTCAGAGATGAACAGACATGATCCATTTCCAACCGTTCCAAGCGTTCCAAGGGTATCAACCGTTCCAAGGGTATCGGATGGAGATGGGCTGAGGATCCAACTCTTGCAGGTATTGTGCCACCTGTGAGCCCAAGGCTTTGGCCTCGTGAGAGTTACTGCGCTGTGGCCGTTTGTCATGTGTGGTTTGTCAAACGCGTTGTGGCGACCTTGGCACAACATGATTTCCATTGATTTTACTCAATCTTATGTTTTTTTAATAGATTTATTTATTTATTTATTTGTTTACTTATAAATATAAATATCTATTCACTCACTGTATTTATTGATTTCATATCGAGTCATGTCGTTTGGGGTGGCATGGGGTGGCAGAACTTGCTAAGGCATCAGGCACTTTGCAGATCATGGCCGAAGGGCTTCTCGACAATGACCCCTTGCAAGGCTGCAAAGTCATGCCCTACAAAGTTCCATAGGCCACAGTCCCCAAGGGAAGCCACTGAGGAGACTGAGGCAAGAATGGCAGAATGTAAGCGATGCAACTCAGAATAATTCAAACATGCCATAAGTATCATGATCACTCACTGAGGGCTGCTCCCACCACCCCAAACAGGGGAGAAGCTGGGCACATAAATAAACACTAAAATGACCAATTTACAGCCTTGTGGCCACGATTACTACGATTCACCTGTTTTATTCTATAGGTTGGAGCAACCGTCTCTAAGTCCAGACTGAGGCCCAGGCGCGTGTAGCCATTCTCAGGCCAACATTCCTGGAGCAGTGGGCAGGACTCGGTTGAAATCTTGCTGCAACAATCACAGACAGCATGGCATGCTGCTTCTTGATGGAAGAAATCTCTGGAAATCTCCAATAGCTAACAATTCCTCCTTTTCAGGAGACTGTGTTGGCCTGGCACGATCTTGTATTGCCAAGGCAGAATTAACACAGAATATATAGATAAGCGATACTTGCGGACTTGCGGACTTGCGGCCTTGCGGCCTTCTTACTTAGTGCTCTTCCAGGTTGTGCCCTGCTTCATTGATGCGTCGCGGTCCTCCCGGATAAATTTGACCGCAGTCTCGAACAGAAATGGCCTCAAACACAGGTGGCAGCCAGCAAAGCGAAAGCAGGAAATTGTGCAGCACACAGCCAGGCTCCGCAAGCACATGTATCAATCTTTACGTCTATATATATATATATGTCAGTGTAAGTATCAAGAATTATCAAGATATATCAAGATATGTGCACAAACACGCACACACACATATATATATATAACATTATATTATATTCTGTTATATTATAAACACTATACTATATCTGTGTGTGTGAATGCATTAATTATATGTCAATATGTCAAGTATAAGTATCGCTGGAGTTCCACTAAGGCAGCCTCCGATCGTTTTGGTTCCGTTGACCTGGACCATCTGAGACCGGCACGGCAAAGCCAAATAAAAAATCCGATTGTCCTGCAACCTCAGATTTCAGCAGCCACAGGCGATTGCCCGAACACATTTCTGAAATATTTTGAAATTGAAAACTGACAGGTGGAAGGAAAGGGCTGACAACTGCCAAACTGGCAGCATGTTGTGGTCACCAACACCTCCCACCAGCAAGGTATAACAGTATAATGATGTATGATGGTATTCATTGGTATTCTAACATATCTGCATCCCATTGCCTGAG